GGAAAATATAAAAAATAAAATAAAAACCAATCATAATCCTACTCTCAAAGAGAAACATTTTGGTGTGTTTCCTTCCAGTAGTTTTTCCCCTAAGCATGCACATTTTTAAAATAATTCATTTATTAAATATATACACACAAACACATACATGAGAGTACTTCAAAAATTTTGTGGAAAAATAGACTTAAAAGAAGACCTCGCATGTCTGTGCGTGCGTGTGTGAGTATGCACGTGCACACACAAGCACCATGTGCCGTGCACTGCTCAACAACGGGGTGCAGCAGGATAGACACCGCTCCTGCCTCAGAGCAGAGAGAGGCACTGAACAGTTGCCCCAGACCCGGCTAGTGCCGTTGTGCTTGCAGAATCCAGGTGTGTGGGGCTCGGAGGAAATGGGGGGAAAGCAGAGGGAAGTAATTGGCCACAGCTGTACTGAGGGACTGAATGAAATTTGTTCTGCTCGGAGAATAACTTCTGGCTAGGCAGAAAGTGGCGATTCAAAGGCTGAGAGGTCAGCAGGGGCCTGATGACCAATGACTGGGGACCTCTTACGCCATGCCTGGGAGTGAAGACTTCCCTGTAGTGGCCGCGGGTGGTCTTTGAAGGATGTTGAACAAGAAAAGTGACAAGATCTAAGGTCATCATCTGTTTTGGGTGAATGGATAGGATGGAGCAAGACCGAAGGGAGAGAGACCAGATAGGAGCCTATTGCAATGGTCTGGGCCACTGACCGTGAGGCTCGGACATGGCAGGGACAGGGGGAGGAGCGACAGGGGCTGGGGATACGAAGACAGACCCAAGAAGCATTCGAAGGACACTCCCAGGTCGTCGGTGCTTGACTGAGTCTGGGGGAGGAAAAGGCGAGGGAAGGGGAGGAAAGTTTTTATTCAGCTGTGGTCCTTTGGTACAGACTGTTTTATAACTCTTTTCTCTTTAAATAAGTAAGTCGTGAATACTTCCCTATATTGTTAAATATCCTCCTTAACATGATTTATAATGGTTAATAAGTCTGTAATTGCATTTTATGTTCTATTGTATGTTTAATAGAACTTCTGCTTAGGCCATTGGTTATTTCCAATTTTTCTCTCTGCAAAAGCAAATCTCAGCTCCTAAGGGGGAAATCACAAGTAATCAAAATACCTTCGAAAACCTCTTAAATCACCCATGAAATACAGTATTGGTTGTTTTGTGTACACACCATGTATAGTAATGTGTATGTGTAAGTACAGAAATAATATAATAAAGATACATGCAAATATAACTTCAGACCACTGTTTAAATTGCTATCTTTTTAATTTTTCTGAACACAGGTAGTCGGGTTTACACAAGTTAAAGGCACAAGTGTGACTCCACAGTGCTCTACACAATACTCCAAAGAACTTGGATGCTCTTCTGTGGGTTGGCAGATTGCCCCCTGGGCTCCAGTTCTTCACCCCTCCTGTACATGCCCTTTGCCATGTGGCTTTACCACCCTCCCACTAGAGGTGGAATGAACCTCCCTAACCCATGATGTTGGGCTTGACCATGTGACTTGCTTTGACCAGTGAAATGTGCCACTTCTGAGCCTAGGCCTCAAGGGGAGTCACTGTGTTCCTGTTTGCCCTCTTATCCACTGCCTTTCAGGAGACAAACTCTAGAGAAGAGACAGATGGAGCGGACCTGAGCCTGACCCACAGTGAGAAGCCAAGCCAGCTAGTCCCCTGGCTTGAAGCAGAGACGCCTGGTCGAGGCTAGCTTAGACCAGCCGATCCCCAGCCAACCTGCAGATGCACGAGTGCGCATGTATCAGTGCTGTAACTTACACGTCTTGGTGTGAGCTGTTATGCAGTGACAGGTGACCAATACAGTGGACATTTCTAATTAGTTCCTTTTTGTTTCAAAAAGTTTGGACCACATGTTGCCAAACCGCCCATCTCCCCCACTGAAATTCCACCCATATTTCTATTCCCAGTGGGGACTGGGGCTTGGTTCCCTCCTCTCTGACCTACACCAAGGATTTTTTTTTTAACTTTCAATTTGACATGCAAATAAAAGTTTCCTCTTTTTTGCAATTCTTTTATTGTAAGTGAGGATGAGCATTTAAAAAGATATATTTTTACTTGGCTGTATAATCTTTTTGTGAATTAATGGCTTATGTTTCTGAAACTTGGCCTTATTTGCCTCTGATTACCCTGCCACAAAAGGAAACTGAAGAGTGTTTGAACAAAATCCTTGAATTCTGATCACCTGGTTAACCTCACAGACTTAGAACAACCCCATCAGATGAGCGTTGTTTGTGTACAATTTTAATAACAAAGATTTCTACGTACTGTTTGATTCATTTTGCAACAATACATGTTTGCTCTTCAGTCCAGCATGGTGCAAACAAAAAGGTGTTCAGAACTAGAAAACCTGGAGATGGATTCCAATGACCAACGGAAAGCTGTTTTATTTCTCCCAGCCTCAGTATTCCCATCTGTGAAACGGAGATAATAATGGAACTGTCCACTAAATGTTGCCATGAAGAATAAAGAAGATCAAGGGTATCCAGCACAAAAATAGAATGCATCTAGCATGGTGCAAACCACATAGTGAGCCTGCAATAAACCTTAGATTTTGCACTGATCTTTCCTTCCTTACATGGATGGGCTATAGAGATTGAAAGAAAGGAAATATTTCCCTGGAGGGAGAGCAATCAAAAAGCTGTCTTGAAGGAAGCATGATTTGATCTGAGCATTAATGGGTGAGGAAGGTTCTGGAGTGGTGGATGGAAGAAGGGAAGATATTCTGGGGTGGAAACATGGTGAGAATAAGGCTTGGTGTCAGAAGCTATTCTCAGAAATGCTGCTGTTGTTCCATCCCTAGTATATGCCAAGAGTGCAGTAGTCACTGCATAAGGTAGTATTTTATCATCATCATCCCCAATTTACAGATGAGGGAGCAGAAGCCCAGAGAGGCTCTGTGACCTCCCCAAAGCTACACAGGTGGCCACTGGTGCTAGGAATTGAATCGATCCCAAATCCCACATGCTTTTTAGCAAACCATCACTAGCAGCCTTGGGGGTACCTCTGAATCTCTGGCTTCCAGAGACAACCTGCCTTTGGGCAGCAGGGAATGCAGGAGCCTCCAGCCTCCCTGCAGCAACTTCAGGAGTCACCTCCACTTCTCAGTCAAGGCCCTGCAGCCTCTGCCCAGGGACTGAGCAGGACCAGGTACTAAGGCCTGGTTACTGCTGCCCAATTGGGGACTCCTCTGAGGGGCAGTCCTTGTTCGGGGTCTCCCTCTATAGTTGGCGAGATGCTGTCATGTCTGCATTGCAGTCTGAGGCTCTCCTATCCCATCCTGCTCCCTCCACCTTTGCTCTTTCACAGCCACCTCCCCGATGGACCCCTTGTGCTCCTAAGCACTCCTAACTCCATCTCTGTCAGCTTCTGCAGGGTCACAGACACACCACCATGGGCCACCCTAGCTCTCAAGCCTGGCACAGGTGGGAGGGCCATGAGAAGACCCACCTACTGGGTGCAGAGGAGGCAGTGTTGGGGGATGGGGGTTGGGGTGTGAAGGTCTTGAAGGAGAATAATAATTAAGGCCAAGAGCTTACCATGTGCCAGGCACCATCTTAAATGCTTTCTTTTTACTTATTTCAATTAATCCTCATAAGAACTCCGAGGAAGGAACTCTTACTATCTATATTTTATACACAAGGAAACTGGGGCCCCGAGAGGTTCAATAACTTTATTGTCCAGGTGACAGAGCTGTTGTGGTGCAGCGCTGGGATTCTCAGCCAGGCAGCCTGGCTCCAGAACCTTCGTGCTTAGCCACACCTCTATGGCCCGGTGCTGGGAAGTGCTCTGTGGATTAGTGAATCCTAGAGAGCTCCCTCGGCAACACCTTGCTATTGCTTCAGAGGGCTGGGAACCCACACTGAGCTCCTGCAAGCTCAGGCTAGGGCCTTTGTAGCCTCTCCTTCATTTACTCTTACAAGCAACTAATATTTACTGAATCTTGACTTTGTGCCAGGCCCTGTGTTAAGCACTGGGAATAACTAGGGGGTTAATATAGAGCTTTCATGGAGCTCTCAGGATAGTGAGGAAGCCATATTAATAAAATAATTACAAATAAATGTGAAATAACAGATGTGATAAATGCTGTAAGGCCCCCCTCCCACCCTCTCTCCCTCAAGGGCCAAAGCCCTTCTGTCCGCCTGCAACTCTGACACTGGTACTGGGATTGTGAAGCTGCAGGCTTGGAAAATCCCTGTTGGGTCCTGGGTGGTTGGATGAGATCTCAAGAGGGTGTGCCCTGAGGCATGGGGTGGGGGACTGCTCTCTCTCCCAGTGCCCTGGTGATAAGCAGTGGTCACTTCTTCTCTCCACCCTTCCATCTGCTCCACCCAGGGTTCTAACTTTGGTTCTGCCATTTACAAGTGACTCTGGGCAATTTTCCTAATGCTTGGAGGCTGAGCTTCTTCACCAGTCTAGAGGACAGAGAGTATATGTCCCAGGAGAAGTCTGCCAAGGAAGAGGGGAGCCAGTTCTCTAGAGAGGGTGAACTCCTCCACCTTCCTAGTTTAATTCAGCCATTTGTTCAATAAATATTTACTGAGTCCCTGCGTGGGGTGGGTAAAACATTTCTGGAGCTCACATCCTAATGAGAACTAATTTTCAGGCTTAAATGTACAACTTGCATTTATCATGCAACATGGTGCCAACTAAGGCGACCTCCTCCTTTGTGGCACAGCCAGAGACATGACAAGCAGCTCCAAGGCTGAAGAGAACACTCGCTATGAGTGATGCTGTGTCTGAATGACTGAAGTGATGGTCAAGACTAATTTTGAGTACAGGCGACCTTCACCTTCTGCATTGCACCTTCCACCCCCACCTGCCCCCCGGATATAAGTTGAGACTCCAGTGTCCCTGCGTGCACAGGGATGTGAGAATTCAATGAAATGTTGGGTGCACTGGGTGGGCATATCAATAAGGGTTGAGAGGTACTAACTCAGTACTACGTATAGCCACAGGTAGCCCTTTGAGTTTTATTAATGACTTCCCCACAGGCTGTCCAGCTGCTCCCAGAGAACACCTCAGAGAACCTCTGCCTTCCCACGTGTGACCCTCTGTGGACATCTTGGGAGCAGAGTGGTGACAGGCCTTCAAGGTCACTGGCTGCACTCCACGCCTGCATCCTCGCTGTGGTTGCAGTTGTGGGAGCCCCAGTCATGCTTTCTGCAGTTCCACAGTGTCTCTTCTGTTCCTCTACATTCAACATCATCCAGCCAGATGGTCCCAGTGCCTTGACACAGAGAAAGCAATGAGGGAAAGAACAGGATCAGGGTGGAAGCAAAGCAGCTGCATTTGTGCCTGGAAGCTTCTGTCTGGGATAGACTTCCAATCTCTCCCACCTTCACTCACGCCCAGCGTGCTAGTCCGGTCTTTTACAATGACTCTGCCTCTGTCTGTTCTCTACCCTTTGACAAAAGTATTATCCAAATATGGAATACTTAGTCCATGCATTATTTGAAATCTCATCCTGGGGGGGTCCGTCTCTTCTCTGCTAATTCACTGCCGCCATATCCATGTTCCTCAAGTGCCCTTCTAACCACATTATTCCTCTGTTCTAAAGCATTCATGCCTCTCAAACTCCCTTTCTTCTGATATAATTGAAAACAAATGGATTATTTGGTTGCAGTCATTTATAGTACGTGACTTAATCTGTGCAAGGAAAATGTATATTTTAAAGGATTTTTACAGTTCAACTGGACTCAGATTAAAAAGCAGGTATGCACTTTGGGGTGGGTTAAGGACAAAGAGTATCTGAGGGTGGGAGCAGGGCAAACCAGCCTCGAGTCCCTGCAGGGTCAGCTTTTATAGCTAAAGAAAGGGGCTCAGCCCAGAGACTTAACTCCTTTGCTGAAGGTTTGAACCTCTGGCCCAAAGACATAAGTGAGTCTCTAGCACCCAAGGACATCTTCCCCAAACTGATTTTTAAAGTCCCTCCTGAGGTTTATCTCTTTCCTTCCCACCTTCTCTATAAAGATGATCATAGCCAAGACTGCTGGACAATCCAGGCTTCTAGTTTCCAGATAGCTGGAGGGAACATCTGTGTTTGCCTGCCCTACATTTTCTCCCCATTCTTCCAATTCTGGCACATCAGCTATCCTTTGAAGAGCCACCCCCCACAAACAGCCTTGGCCATGCAGCATTCTGACTCCGGGACTGAGCGGACACTCACCCAAGCCTGGCCAGCCAGACCCCACTCAAGCCTTCGCTGTCCAGCCAGACTCCACTTTGCTGGCCAGGCAGACCCCACTCAAGCCCCCACTGTTGGGGAAGAGAGGCCACCTTTCTGCTGGGGTTGCCAGGCTGGAAGGATGTAAGCCCAGAGCCCTGAACTGTAGAAGTTTTCAGTTGCTTGAACCAATGCTTTTCTTTTAACCCAGAGCACACTGAGTCATGTGCAACCAAAGAGTGTCAATACTCCATTAGTAACAGAAAGCCACTTCAGCACCTCAAGGGAAGAAGTCCCAGGTAGATGCTTCGCTTACCAGCTTCTACTTTGAAAATGGCCCTTCCTCTGGAGTAACCCAACATGCGGCAGAAGACAGTGGCATCGGAATTGTCCCAGCTGTCATCACAAATTGTCCCCCAGACACCATTATAGTAAACTTCAGCCCGGCCTCGATGACTGCTGCCAATGATCCTGGCGAGTGCTGCCAATGATCGTGGTTCACCTGCGTGACAAAACACAGGTGGGAGCAGTGAAGAAAAGTACCTCAGGGCTTTGTGCAAATGCAGGCTCTTCCTGTTCAATTCTGGAAGTTCTGTAGTTATAGAAAAGAAAGCTCCCTGCTTGACTGTCATCAGAGCCTGGGGCACCAACACAACCTGGCATGCAGTCTCCGTGCACCTGGGCCTGTGGGTGCGAGGCCATAGGAGCAGGTGCCTCTGTGGCTGGTCCCACAAACCCCACAGACCATGTCTTGTCATGTGTTGTGGAGAGAAAAAAAGTTGAGAAAATGGAAGGAAGGAAAGAAGGGAGGCAGGGAAGGAGGGAGGGAGGGAAGGATGGAGACAGGGCAGGAGAGAGGGAGGGAGGGAGAGGAGAAAGAAGGAAAAAAGGGAGGAAAGAAGGGAGAAAAGGAAAAAGGGGAGGGAGAAAGGAAGAGGAGGAGGGAAACTGAGGCACTGCGCCTATGAGTACATGCCATGGGCAGGCTTCTTCACAGGATGAGTCCACCAGCCTTTCCCCAAAATGAGAGATTTCTTTGAGAACCAAGGTCTCTCCCACCAACACACACACAATTTGTTTCATAGAGAATTGACTCTAAAGCACACATTAAAGAGAATAGAAACAGCAGTTACCTTTTTGACCTTTCTCTCCCTTCACTCCTTGCTGCCCAGCAGATCCTGTCATGAGGAGAAAGCCCACACAATTGGAAGGATGCCCAGCCAGGATCCCTTTGCCCTGCTCTGCCAACAGTGGGGAGGAGGTCTCTCTCCTCCAGCTTGGCCCGTGGCCAGCATCACGGGGACTGGAAGTGCCATGGGCAAGAAAAAATGGGCCTGAGCTACAACAGGAAGGACTGAAGTCAGATTAGTGATGGACGCTTGACAGGTAAGAGACACGGAGTGTGATGGGAGCATCTGCTTCCTGGAAAGATCCAGGCGGTGATGGAAAGCGTCAGGGGTGGCCAGGGCACGGATGGGCAGAGCTCAAGTGCACATTCACTGTCTCCTTCCTGGAAAGCCCGGGTGTGCCCTCATGCCTGGGATAATTCCCTTATTCACTGTTGTATGCTCCTGCTTAGGATAATCCCCAGCACCTAACTTGTCAACTGAATAAACAAATCTCTACCCTCCCGGGTTCTGAAAATCCCCCAGTCCCTTAAAACAGGGCCTCTCCTAAGAACCCATGAAGCAGAAACAGAGGCCTTACCTTTTGCTCCAGGGTCTCCGTTTCGGCCAGCTGGTCCAGGTGCTCCCATGGGGCCTGCCAGCCCTGGGCTTCCCCTTTCTCCCTTCAAACCTGCAGGGCCTGGAGAGAAGGGAGACCACCTCCTCAGATGCCCTGCTGTGCTTTCCCAAGGGGGACCCAGGGCCTGGGTGTGTAATGAATGTGTTGTGCTTAACTAGCAGGTTTCCCCGTGAATGGGCTGTTTGAACATCAGCCTGTGTCTCTGTCCATCGGGGGGCTGCTCTAATCTCCTGACTCCCAGGTAAATGCTGATGAGAATGCGCAGGTGCAAACAGCTGACAGCATTCCAGAGGTTTTTGGTCCTCAGTAGGTTGCACAGTTATGTGAAGTTCTTGCCCATCTGGGGGGATTCACTAAATGTTTCTAGGACTCAGTGTCTCAAGTAAATTGAAATAGTGATAGACTATGCAGCACATGAGGAAGAAAAATTGCTCATGGAACTTGTTGGAGACGTTTTGCTTTAGTGCTTGTTAGGGCAGGGCTGTGAGAAACCAGAAGCGCTGTGCAGCCAGTGCCCAGCTTGGTAACCAACTCTAAGCGTGGGCTCGGGGTGTGAGGACGATGGTGACAGAGCCTCATGAGAGGCAGCGGGAGGAGGAGGGGAGGGGCTGCGGCCATGAAGAGGCAGATGGACCAAAGCAGAGGTGGGGAGCACCAACCCCAGACTGGAGAGGAAGGTCCTACAGCACCACGGTGGCTGCACGGCCTGAAGCTACCGCCTGCCCCACCGGCTCTCCTGACAATTTTTACCCCTTGCCATTCTCAGCCCCTGCCCCACACCCTACACCCCCCACGACACTGAATTCCTATCGTTCCCCAGGTTTTCCAGGAGAGGAATCGGAGGCTGGGGTGGCAGAGCCCTGGTATCCTAGCCTCCACTTTGGGTGGAAGGTCATAGCCGCACATTCAGGTCAACGAGGCCCGCCCTCCGAGGACACAGGCCTTCCCAGTCATCATTCTGAGAAATTAAAATGAAGCCGGCCCTTTACCTGGAACTCCTGATTCTCCTTTTGTTCCTTTCTGTCCTTGAAGTCCTAAGATCAAAACAAAAAAAAGGGGGGAGGGGGGAGAGAAGATAATAAAACTTAGATAGTAGACACTTTTAATCTTAAAAAAGGTAGACAACGTCTACCTTTTGTCTGATTAATGCAGACGGAAAGATATATTGGTTCTCCACGATTGCTTAAAACCTCTTTAGCAGAGCATAAAAGGAGACAGCCGCAGCCAAATGGGGATGGGCACGTTAGGTGACACAGCAAAGTGCTGGAGGAGAGCCTGGTCAGACAGACCCCAGACTCACTGCCCGTAGATAACCTGACTTGGTGTTTAAATCCAACCCCATTCCATGCTGTTGCATTTTTGGGGAAGAGAATTGAGAGATATTTTAAAAATAAAGTCATTTTGATTTCCAAAAGACTGAAAAGAGGACCCAAGGAGCTTTGGGAGTCCTAAGCCATAGTAGATGCTCCATAAGTACTTATGGATTTATTTCACCCAGTGTGGCTAAAGATTCACGTGACAAAAGGGTCTCCTGTCCAGAAAATGAAAAAATAATAATTGTAATCATTGGTGATGATCTCATTTGTAGTTAATTTAAAAGGCCCTTCTTTTCTTCCTTCCTCCCATTCATCCTTTTATGTAGTAAACTTTCATGGAAGACCCACTGTCCCCAGCACCCCGCTGGGTCACTGTGTGATAATAATTGGTTCATTTGGCAACATCACGGACTCTCGATTTTAAGTGCCAATATTGATTTTATTTCAGAGAAACAGGACTCCCCAAGACAGGTGCACAAACTTGGGAAAACGCAAGCTCATTGTTGGCTATGAAATGACAGTCATTAGAGGGTGAGACACAGTGTGAACAGTTGTTCAGGAGCATCTGTGGTCATCGCCGTCCCCCTGAGGGGCTTCCCTCCCAGGGCACAAGCCAGGTCTTAACCACAGATCCACCCTTCTGGTGATCAGAAACCGCAGAGAGCTCAGCTGTCCTCACTGCAGTTGCCTGTGCAAGTTCCTACCTACCCTGCCCTGCCTCCCACTTCAGTTTCTGAGTTTCCTGAGCTCCTACAGTGTGCGGGTCAGCAGAGGGCGAGGTGAGGGGCTGGCCGGCCTCTTTAGGACCACTTCTTGGAATAATGAGCAAGAGAAGTCTTGGCTCCCAACAATATTTCAGAGAACCTGCCCTGAGGCCTGGCACTGCCAGGGGAGGAGGGTCAGAGAGCCAAGAAGCTAGGAGCCAGCCATGGCAGCAGGAGAAGCAGGAGGCACCGGGAGACTCTGAGAGGCCGACTACTCTTCAGCCCTCATTTTAGGACCAGGGACAGAACTGAGGCTGGAACAGGCTCTTCTAAGAGCTGGAGGTGCCTTAGAGGTCGGTGCTTAGAAGACAGGCCCTGGCTCCCCGGTGCCATTTGTGCGTGCACTGGTTCTTCTGATTAGAATGCTCACCCCTTTGGTCCACCTAGAGAACTCAGAGTTAGCCTGTAAACCCTGAGAAGATGTCAGATGTCACTGAATGGGAGGCCTTTCCTGGCCTGGCCTGATGAATGATGCGCTTTCTCCAAAGGCAGAAGAGCAAAGTGGTTCCAGAGTCTGACAGTCTGGGCTTGGGTCTGCCTTGGCCTTTACTGGCTTTGTGACTTCAGCCAGGTGTCCCTGCTCTGGGCCTCAGTTTCCCTCCTGAGTCTCCTTGTTGCCTCTTGAGGTACTTGTGAGACTGAAATAAGGCTGTGTGTTTCGAGGGCTGGTCCCACATCCGGCCAGCGCTGAGTAAACGGTGCCATGAAGGCCCCATGGCCCTTCTTGCACATGTCTGTCTCCTGTCCAGGTGGGGAGCACTTTGGGCGCTGGGGCTGAGCCCCTGCATGAGCGCCCAGCTGGCTGCCCAGCCAGCACCTGGTAAATGCTTGCTGGTGACCTGGAGAGACTCAGCCGAGGCCACCCAGCAGAGGCAACCGATGTCTCCTCTCTGCTTACTCATATCTGCAGAGCATATGTCAAGATTGGAGGGAGAAGACCACATTCAGAAATATACCTAGAGGTTTATTAAAGAGAAAAACAGTCTACATTTAGACTGCCGGCCCTCTCTGTCTACATCTTAGAGGACACCATATTACAGAAATCTCCCCCATAAGTGCCTGTTCCTAGAAGCAAGGTTTAGAGACCCCAGGGCACCGTGACCTTCTCTTATTGCCCCCACCCAAAGAGTTGCACCTCTCCAACTGTCCTCCAAAGCATGGAACAACAAACATCCTTGCTAAGACAGGAGCCATAGGGAAGCCCCGTGTGGCGGGTTCATGGCCCTGCCTGACACTTGCGCTTCATTTCTCACACTCTCCCATCCCAGCCCCTCACCTCCAGGGGGCTCAGCATCGGCTGCTGTCTTACTGTGCCAGGCACTGTGCCAGGGGCTTTATATACACTACCTCGTCCATCTTTCAGCTTCCTGCATGGTAGAGTTACTTCCCTTCTTTACAGAGAAGGAAGTCGACACCTAGAGAGGCTAAGTGATTTATCGAAGATCACACAGGGGTGAGTGGTAAAGTCGGGGTTGTGACCCAGGCTTGGCCTCCCACTATGCTGTGAAGCCTCCTTTGTTCCATCAGCATACCAGGCTCAACCCTTCCTGGAGTTTCACTAGGGCAGTCCACTTGGTTCCAAAGGCCCCTACAGTCTCCTTTGGGCCATCCCTTTCCCTTAAAAAAGGAGTGGTCAGACTAGAGCATGAATGAAAATCACTTGGATGGGGCTTGTTAAAAAACAATTTGTGAGGGCCGGCCCGGTGGCGCACTAGAGAGTGCGCTGCTTGGGAGCGCGGCGGCACTCCCACTGAGGGTTTGGATCCCATGTGGAGACCGGTTCCCGCTCACTGGCTGAGCGCGGTGCGGGCACAACACCAAGGGTTGCGATCCCGTTGCCGGTCAGTAAAAAAGACAAAAAGGAAAAAAAAAAAAAAACAATTTGTGAGGGCCGGCCCGGTGGCGCACTAGAGAGTGCGCTGCTTGGGAGCGCGGCGGCACTCCCACTGAGGGTTTGGATCCGATGTGGAGACCGGTTCCCGCTCACTGGCTGAGCGCGGTGCGGGCACAACACCAAGGGTTGCGATCCCGTTGCCGGTCAGTAAAAAAGACAAAAAGGAAAAAAAAAAAAAAACAATTTGTGAGGGCCGGCCCGGTGGCGCACTAGAGAGTGCGCTGCTTGGGAGCGCGGCGGCACTCCCACTGAGGGTTTGGATCCGATGTGGAGACCGGTTCCCGCTCACTGGCTGAGCGCGGTGCGGGCACAACACCAAGGGTTGCGATCCCGTTGCCGGTCAGTAAAAAAGACAAAAAGGAAAAAAAAAAAAAAACAATTTGTGAGGCCCCACCCCAGAACTGTTGATTCAATGGGACTAGGCTGGGGATCTGAGAATCTGCATTTCTAGCAGTTTCCTAGGTGATGCTGACACTGATGGTCTGGGGCCCACACTTTGAGCAGCACTGCCTTAAACAAATCCACTCATTCTGCAGGGACCAGCTGACAGCCCACTTCCTCCAAGCAGCCTTCCTGTCTCTGTAAGAGCTCACAGGTCCCACGACTGGGCTCTCTCAGAACCACTCTTCCTATGGCAGAGGTTGGCCCTTGATGAAATGCTTTCTGATATGTGTTCGATGGGTGTCGGTTTTGTCTTCAAAACTCCCCTCTTCAAGGGGAGGAAATTGGGATCGAGTTCTGTGCAATTTCTATCCAAGCCTCTCTGGACTCAAAGAGGGCGCTAGCTGATGGGCTGTTCATTGACTAATTGATCGAGGTACAAGTAATTTCTTCACTGTAAATCAGAAAGCACCCCGATTGGATCAGCTCCTGCACATCAGAGGAAGAAATGCCTAAAAAATAAGGTCCAGAACTTTGTGTTGTAAAACTACACTGAATAGAGCTAACGGATGTTGGGTTTTTCTTCTTAACCACAAGCAAATTGGTTTTCTCTGAGTATCACAAACTTATCAAGCTGAACGGGCCCATAGTAACTTATTGTAAGATGTTTTTAGACAAATGATTTTCCCCCAAGAAGATAGTTTGTTTAGTTAGAAATTATGTGCCTTCTTATGGTTTGGTGTTCAGCTCGTGTTCTGACTAAAGTCTTAGATTGTTCTTGCTCTGAGGGGAAATTGCCTATTTCAAGCCCAGAGGGCCGCTGAGCTGGCAGGGACCTGGATATTTTCCTACACTACTCATATGCCACAGAAGAGGAAACTGAGGCCCGACAAGGTCAAGTTCTGGCCCACAGTCACCCAGCTAGTCAGTGGCAAGTCCAAATTGAGGCTCAGGTTTCTCCTGATTCTGAGTTAAATGGAGAAATTTCCAGAACATCAAGAAACTTCCTTAAATACCATCCCAGCTTGCAGGTTAACTGCATCCTGGTAAAGTTAGGATTGATTTAACTAATAACTGACTAATTGAGCTGTGTAGCAAGAAGTGAGATGGTAGCTAGGGGACCCAAAATTATGCAAATGTCCCTAAAAAACTTAGAGGAAAGTGAGGAAGAGCTTTATAAGTGACAACCTAGTAATTTGACTTGGTAAAATTTAACAAACTCTTGGAGAACCTCGGTACTTACATAGGGTAATAGAATTAACTAAGAGATTCTATTCATGATACAGGGCTGAATTGCTATTATGAATTATGTTTGTTGCTTAAAGTAAATCATCTTAAAATACAGGTGAGAAAATAGATTTCAAGTTATTTGCACTTTGATTTTACCTCAAGAGGAAAATAAAAGGGCTTAAAAAATTCAGATTGCTATGTTTTAGACATAAAGGTCATTGAGATAAAGAATTTCTAATCAGATTGGTGTTTTGGAGTTGAAATGTTTTGGCTGCTTCTAACATCATTTCATGAGGTGGAAATGGTAAAAAGAGAAATGCCATGATTACAAGTTGGAGTCCTTTCTTATTTTCAAACAAACTTTACTTTTTAAAGTATCTAAAAGACGTGGAGCTAAAATGTTGCTATCTTTTGCAACTGTTTGAAAGAGAAAAAGGTAGAAAAACTAAGTTTTGGGGGTTGGACAAAAGCCTCAGCTTCTAACAGGTGAAGGAAATTACCATTAAAGAAAGTTCTTCTGGGTATAATGCCCTCCCGAATAAAATGTGGAGTTAGTCTTTCCAGCAGAATGGAAGGAATTTACTCATTGTCTTCTTTAATCTGAGACGGCTCAAGAGGGGAGGTGCACACAGGGCAGACATTCCACCCGGACTGGAGTGGGGTTAGGGTCTGTTGACAAGGAAGGAAAGTTTGGGTGACTCAACCTGGACTTTTTGTGGCATGGGAGGATCAGGATGGGGTGAGGGTGATTTTGATTTCTCTGGAGTCATACACTCTATGTTATTCTATATAACAAAATCTGGAAAAGCACAACTTTGGAATCAGACTTTGGGACTAACACCCAGGTTCAGTGCACCCTAACCATGAGACCATGAGCAAAGGGGTTACTGTCTGAGCCTTTTCTTCCTTGGCTGTGAAGTTGGGATGATAAAACTCAGGTGTGGGGTAGATGAACTAAGACCACAGGAGTTAAGTCCCAAGCACAGTGCCTGGCCCAGAGGCACTGCTACTGATGAACGAACCTCTCATTTTTTATAACATGCATAATTAGTGAAATCTCACTATCACTTAGATCAAGCCAACACACTGTAATTTCTGTTTTCATCCAAAGCAGCTAGATATTCTCTTGAGAGATTAATGATTTTATTTACAAAATGGGAAACACATCAGTTTGAAAGCCTGTCTTGACATATCAAAACTGGACAATCATCACAGTAGCTTTAGTTTGGAGAATACCAACATCCTGACATTGGCAAGTAGACATTGTCTTCCATGATGGTAGGATCTGGCTCCCACCACCCACCACCCATGCCTCCTTCTCTCACTTTAGAAATTGTCAAATCTAATCTCTCCAGAAGTTCCTTTGCCTATGACTCCAGGATGATACACAGACCTGGCTAAGATTAGCTGATTATGGTCCTGTGGGAATTCCCCTCTGAGATGTCCATGCAGACCATCAGCTACATGATCAAAGCAAGCATTTCAGCTTGGGTGAGCAGTCTATGTGATTTTACATAAGCAGTCATGCCCCAAATTGAAAGTGTAATTCATCACGTTTACTTGGGCAGCCAGAATTAAGGGGAGCAGCTAGAATTTGGCTGGTATTCACTACTAGGCCTGCTTAATGGAGAACCCTATAAAGCTGCTCAGCAGATATACAAGGACTCAATGATGATGGAGTTAAAATAATCTCCAGACTATGGGTCAAAGGTCTCTATGCTAAAATGGGTATGGGGTCTTGGGTAAATAACTGAGAACCATTATAGGGCCTGAGAGCTTCATGGTTCCCCCTAAGAGTGGAAGAAGCTTCTATTGCTTCTGTTCTGATTCTTTCTGAACTGGGATGGAGGGAAAAGATGTCACTGTTCAGCGTCCCCTGATGGGGGTGGTTGGGAGGAAGACCCCCCAACAGAGTGTAAAGGATAAGACCCCAAGCTTTGGGTCCGCTAGGCCTAGATTTGAATCCTGGCTGCATCTCTTACCAGCTGTTTGACTTTGGGCCACTTACTATAAAATACCACTAACCCCATTGGGTTGTCATGAAAACACTCATTAGTAGGAGCTGCTCTTATCACACAAACCCTTCTAGAGTACAGCGCACAGGGCAAGATTCTCCACCCTTAGACAGTGGAAGACACAGGCTTGGTGCCTGGTGAATGGGCACAGCGCCCCTGTCGGTAAAATCATGTTTTACCCCCAGCACTCTTGCTTAATCAAGAACCATTAATCTGGCAATGGGGGCGGGGGCAGAAGGTGACTACTATTTATAACTGAGGAATGACAAGGTCATCTCCATGACACCAAGTAGAAAACTCAGGGGCAACAGAGCTTCAGGTCCCAAGTCAGGTGGACCCTAAGATCAGTGACCAGAGAAGACAGAATTATAAAATCAGAAAAGGCAGCCGACAGGTCAGGAACATCTGACCACCATACCCAGACGGAGCCTTTCCCAAGGCCTTCATGTGGCATCTGCATGGAATCAGGTGGCAGGGCCCTTGCCCACACTGATACACCATCCATGAAAAAGAAAATGTCTCTGAGCCTGGACAGATTAGAAGGACAGAGAGGGCATAGGACCTGCCCTTGACATGGCTCCCAACAACCTTTAGGAAAACCCAAAGCTCACAGGCTTAGAGTCCAAGGCTGGCCAGAAGGGGGTGATGAATGAAAGAATGAATGAGTTGACCACTTGGTTAACTGGAACTGTGAAGGACCAGCCCCTGGTGTCCCGGAGTGAGGACATCCATGTCTGACAGGGGGTGATGAATGAAAGAATGAATGAGTTGACCACTTGATTAACTGGAACTGTGAAGGACCAGCCCCTGGTGTCCCGGAGTGAGGACATCCATGTCTGACACAAGCATAACCTTCTGCTCTGGCAGAGGAGGGGCCAAAGCAGACACCAGCCCTTCTTCACACCCCTGCACTTCTCACAGCACCTCCTGCCTGCACCTGGCTTTCCAAATGGCATGTGGCAGTTCTCCCTGCAAATACCCAAGCAGACTGTACATGCATGGCCTGGCAACAGTCTCTGCCTCCTGCACCGTGCTGTGCCTCTCAGGGCAGGAACGGGGTCTTATGCATAGTGGGGGACCCAGCACCCAATACAGTGGTTGCAACTTTCTAGACCAAGTGAGTACACTTTTGGTTCCTGAACTTACTCAGTGACTGGACAAAACTGGCACCATGATTTATAAAGTAGACTCCATTGGGATGAGGATTTTCAAACAGACATGATGGTATATGATCATGACTAAGTTGGCATGATGGTTTATAAACTAGTCTTTATGAGTTTGGGTAGTGTGGGCCGGTACTCCCAGCCTGCCTCGCTAGGATGAGCAAGAAAGGTTTTCTTGACCCTCCTGCTTGAGTCCAGAGTCCTGACCCTGGGGACCCCACTGAAAGTCAGCAGGAGAGAGTGGGAGTCATGTACACAGCTGGGAGGCAGACCAGGGAGACGGCATGCACAAGGTGCCCTATGTCTTCCCTAACACTGGAGGTTTGATCACGGTATTTGAGGCCTTTCAGGAACTCTGAGCAGAGAAAGTAGAGCCCTAGGGCCTTGAACTCAAGGGGTCCTTGCCGAGGAAACTGTCCTCCTTAATCAGGTAGCTTCAGGGGCTGGAACACAGGAGACCCTCTGCCTCCTTCTGTGAGCCTGCTGGGAGGCAGTTCTCCTTCCTGCCCACCCTAACACCAGCATCACCACCCACCAACTACCCACGCCCTCTGTTACCTGTGTCCCCCTTGCTTCCTTTCTGGCCTGTGGCTCCTGGAATCCCGGGACTCCCTGGTGGTCCTGGACAACAGACACAACAAAGAGCACGAGGGTTGAGCTAGGTAGGTCATCAGACATCACTCCCCACACCCACTGCAGGACCCAGGACCTCACCTGTTAGCCCAGCAGAGCCAGCATGACCAGGTTCACCCTTGGCACCTGGGGGTCCCACCATGCCGGGAAGACCTGGAACGCCCTGTGCTCCAGGTTGTCCTGAAAGTTAAGTGGTGACTGCAAGGCTGGGGTGGTTGGAAGACGGCCTGGCTGCCCCCCTCCACCCCGACAGTGCCTCTGTTCTCAGCAGTGAGACATGCCCCTCCTAACACCTGTTATTTCCCTCAGCAGCCTTAACCATCTCTCTTTAGAAGCCACGAACTAGCCCTGTTAGTGGGAGGAAAATTAGTCTCAGCAGCTTATTAATCTTTTCCATTCACTGCTGCAGACTTTGGGACTTGAGGACCTACTAGGAACTCTGGGTGTGAATGTCCAACTGCACACCTTGGGTGGTAGAGTGGGGCGAAGGTATAAAGAGGAGTATCAGTTAAGCCAGACCCCCAGCAAGGTCAGGTTCTCAAGAAACCCTAAGTGCTCTGGTTAATACTACAATGAAATAAAAGATGGTGGAGTCAGGTTCTCTACTTGACTCTTCCCAGGGACAGTGGGAGCTGGAAGGATGCCCAGGTTTCCACAGTTCTTACCTTGATCTCCTTTGGCTCCAGGAGATCCAGCCAAACCTAAAATGAAAAACTTTTAGGAAGTTTCTCAAACAATTACAGATAGATCTACCATATGACCCAGCTATTCCACTGCTGGGTATATACCCGGAGGAATGGAAATCATCATGTCGAAGGGATACCTGTACTCCCATGTTTACTGCAGCACTATCTACAATAGCCATGAGTTGGAACCAGCCTAAATGTCCATCATCGGATGAGTGGATAAGGAAACTGTGGTATATCTACACAATGGAATTCTTCTCTGCTATAAAAAAATGAAATACTGGGCCAGCCCCGTGGCTCACTCGGGAGAGTGCGGTGCTGGTAGCACCGAGGCCGCGGGTTCGGATCCTATATAGGGATGGCCCATGTGTGCTCACTGGCTGAGCGTGGTGCAGACAACACTGTGCCAAGGGTTGTGATCCCCTTACTGGTCCAAAAAAAAAGAAAAAGAAATACTACTATTCACAAGAACATGGATGGACTTAGAGAAAATTATATTAAGTGAAATAAGCCAGGCACAGAAAGAGAAATACTGCATATTCTCACTTATTTGTGGGAGATAAGAAAAATAAATAAGTAAATATACAAACGAATGGGGGAGTGGGGGGAAGAAGACACAACAATCACAATTCCTTGAACTTGGGGAGAGGGGGAAGGAAAAGGAGGAATTGGTAAAGGGACACGAAAATCAACTACATTGTATATTGATAAATTAAAATTTTTTTTCCCCCTTTTTGTCTTTTTTACTGACAGGTAACGGGATCGCAACCCTCGGTGTTGCGCCCGCACCGCGCTCAGCCAGTGAGTGGGAACCGGTCTCCACATGGGATCCGAACCCTCAGCGGGAGCACCACCGCACTCCCAAGCAGCGCACTCTCCAGTGCACCGCCAGGCCGGCCCTAAAATTTTTTTAAAAAGGGAATTTATTCCATTTTACTTAGCCTGCCAGAAAACAGGGAATATCTACAGGTCAGTGGCCCTGACCACATGGCCTCTTACCTGGTGGTCCTGGCTTCCCGGAGTCACCTTTACTGCCCTGGGCTCCAGGGGGGCCCATGACCCCTGTGTCTCCTTTGATGCCCATGCTCCCTTTGCTTCCTGCAAAACAAGGAGTCGTGGTCAGGTATGGGAGAAGGGCAAACCCCGCTCTGGGGTCCCACTCCGACACTTTCTGTCCCACCCAAATTCCAAACTCAAAACTCCTTGAGCTGCTTATACTTGGTACCCAGAAGTGGAAGACAGAATTGCTGCCCTCAAAGAGCACACCACGGTCACTGAGAGAAGACACAGACTCATGAAATTTGGGGAGGTGACATGGCCTTGCTGATGTTCAGAGCCCTGGTCCCTTTGGGAGGGACCACAGCCCTGGCTCAACCAGCACTATCTGGCTCACTTTAGTGTCTGCACTTGGGGAATTACTTTTTAAGGCCTCTCAAATTGAAATCTGAATATTCCAGAAAGCAGATCCCAAATGCTGAGAATAGCAACTTTGAGGCACAGATGGAGAGGAAAACACTGCAGCAGCTCACATCCCTGCCAGTGGTTCAGACACGGGCTTTCTTGGTATCCACAATTTCAAATTTTCCACTTGTCATCAGCATTCAAGGCTTGTCCCAGTCTATCCTCTCCTGAGTCCTCCATCGCTCCCTCCTCCTTTCCTGCCAGTGCTGGGTGCATATCAATTGAGGAAGGCTCCTCACAGGGGCAGTACTCTGTGACACCTTCCCAAACTATGAGTGTGGTTGGGAGTGGACTGCAAAGCCATCACCAGCCAAACTGTGCAGGGCCTGCCTTGGCAGCCCACCGGGACAGCTGGCATTTGGTAAGCAGCTGCCGTCCCACTGTCAGCTGGGTGCGAATGTCCAACTCCACACCCCTGGGGGGCAGAAGGGAGTGAAAGTCTCACCTCAGAGAAACTTTATAGGCTCATGCAGGTTTGTTGGGATGGAATTTTGTTAAAAGGCATTTATCGCTCCATTCTATTATTTTGATAACATTAAAGCTGGTGAGGACTCAGGCATGATGCCAACCTTCTCTCCAGTGAACTAGGAAAGGAGACAAAATCCTCCAAAGAGGAAAGAAAAAGCAAGCCTTTCTGGGGCCAAGCTTTGAGAGAAGTTAGGTGCCAGGCTTGAGGGTTGGACTCTGAGATTGTTGGATACTTGAAGAATGGTTGGTCCTTGGTGGGGGAGGAAGCAATCACAAAGAGCTTGGTGCTCCAAAGAGGAAAGAAAAAGCAAGCCTTTCTGGGGCCAAGCTTTGAGAGAAGTTAGGTGCCAGGCTTGAGGGTTGGACTCTGAGATGGTTGGATACTTGAAGAATGGTTGGTCCTTGGTGGGGGAGGAAGCAATCACAAAGAGCTTGGTTATAGCTGAATTTCTTTAAACAACCTAAGGTGCAAACAGCATAGAAGGCAGTTCTTGGCCATTCCAAATGTCCTCTTTAGAGAAGGGTCCAATGGCCCCTGTTGGAAGGGACTGGAAGTTACTTCCTGGGAAGAACTTGTTGGTGCTCTACTGCTCTGGGCCAGAACCATCAAGTTATGGCAATTGCTTGGCCATAGGAGGTTTCTTCAGGATGGTCTGGGCCTGCAGCCATGTTGATATAGCTTACATGTCCCCATCAAAGGGACAATTTTGGGAAGCGGGGCAGTATCATATCAGTGAGAGGACCTGACACCAGCTTGAACCAAAGAAGCACAGCTGCTTCTGACTTCAGAACTTTCCAAACATAGCTAAGAGGTGGAATGAGGGAAACAGGTTTGTCACCTGGAACCTCGCCATGGTGGCACCTCTGATCTGCTGGGGTGAAGAGCGTAGGTAAAACCCCAGTACCACTGGGCTCAGGTCTCAATGGGTTTGTACAGCCCCACCTGCCAGCAGTGGCTTGGGCAAGTAGTGGGTAAAAGACATCTCATGATCTTGAGAGAGGACATTTGGGAAGAAGGGTGGCTGGAGTCCTAGTTTCTGGAGAACTGAAACCGCTGCACCCCTCCGGCTGACTGTAGCGCTTCCTGGCCTGAGTCTGGGAGTGGATTTGATTCCCTCCTTTGTGGCACTGCAAGAGCGTGGGATGGGAAACAGTGTGGTTCAGACTCAAGGGCAAAGGGCTGGAGGGCAAAGGCCTGGCAGTCGCCCCTTCTTTGGGGCTGGCGAGGTTGCCTTGAGAAAGTCTGGGTCTTCCTCTCCCATCTACAAAGAGAACTGCAGAGTGCTGGCTTTGGGATGATCCTCAGGGGTCAATGGTCCAACCACCATCCTGGTGAAAGGGTGCCAAGGAGAATTCTGCAGCCCGTCTTGCCCTCTCCAGTGGTGGGCTGCCCATTAAGACCCACAGCTGCCCCTGTCATCACAGATCAACCCCAAGTTCTGGATAGTTCTTCCTCCCTGGTCTCAACACAATTGGTTCTCGTGCAAACTTTGCCCACTGATTTTCATTCTTCTGCTGGGCACCACCCAGAGCAAATCCAACTTCTCTCCTACAAGTGCCTTTCAACGATTTGAGGATGGCTGACACATCCCTGCTGAGGGCTCTCTTCTTGAAGGCAAGTATTCCCAGTTTCTTATAATGTAAATAATTCCTATTTGCCAGGTACACTGTTATACCTCTTATGGTCTTGTATTCCTTTTGTAATGAATCCTCATTAATTACAGGTAAGTATTATTATCCCCCTCTTCTAAGTGAGTAACTTGAGGCTCAGAGAGGTTAAGTCACTTGCCCGACATCACACATCTAGTGAGCTATATCAGAACCCAAGTCTGTCTGATGTTGAAGCTGGAGTCCTTCCCTTTCTACCTTACAGGACAACTACTACTGTTACTAATAGATATCATTTAGTGCCTACCATGTGGCAGCCAGTTTGAAAACATGATCTCTAACCCTTATAATGGTCCTGCAAGGTAAGTATAATTTAATCACTACTATTTTAATTTAATTACTAAAATGAGGAAATTAAGCTCAGAAGGTTAAGTCACATGCGTAGTCACACAGGTGAACAAGTGCAGAGCAGGACCCCAAGCCTGCCTGGCTTCACAGCCCTGATGCCCCAGGGCACTGCTGAGCCTCCCCAGTGGGGAGGCCCAGAGATTAGGAGGCTGAAGGTGCTCAGTCAAGTCCACGGCATGTTTCTCCAAGTGTGGCACTTAGACCTCCAAGGCCAGAATCATCTGGGGTGTTTACAACAGACTTTTGGGTTCAATCTGCATTTTGTACAAGCACCCAAATAGCCCATAGCTTGAGCCCTATAGAGATAGCAGCCGCTATCCATGGGGGATTCTAGCTGCCTGGGGTCCGCCTTCTGGAATTAACCCCCTTGACCTCACTGCCATCTGCCATGCTTCCCAAGACCCCTGAGGGCCCACCCCCTTTGTTGCCTCCCCTTCCTCTCTGAGGACTTAGCTCCACCTCTGTTCCTGCTTGTCACAAGTTGTGCCTGGAGTGACATTGTCCTCCCTCTCACATTGCACCCTTGACCTTTGCTCCCTTGGAAAGAAGAGACCACACGTGGTGTTCCAGGGGGGTGCTGTGAGCAGAGCACAGCCCTGCCCTTTGGACGCAGAGTCCAGGCCTGGCCCCCTCAGCCTCCCAAGGAGCACCGACACCCCAACAAGGCCCTTACCTGGGGGGCCCAGGTCTCCCTTGTCTCCCTTAGCTCCAGCTTCCCCTTTCAGGCCAGTGAGACCCCCCTCGCCTTTGCTGCCCTTCTCTCCTTGGGGCCCTGGGGTGCCTGCAAAGAGAATGGCAGGTGAAGTGGGCTGTCACCATGCTCCTGGGGACAGGCTCCTAGGTAAAGGGACAGGGAGTGTTTGGGGGAGAAGGGAAAGGGATCCCCAGAGGAAGTCTGGGGGATAAGTTAGCTCATCCCTAGGGTGGTCTTGACAAGCATAATGAGACTCTAGGGAAGAGGACTGTAGGAAGGGCGTTAACTCTCTGGGGCTGGGCGGGGGTTGGGGGTGTTGAGGGAGGGGAACTGTTTCAGTGCCTCAGGCGACACATCACTGATCCCAAGCAGGGAGTACAAGGTACCCGCCGCTCCTTGCTTTCCTGGCTCGCCCTTGGGTCCTCGGAGGCCTGCGCAGAAGGAAAGAAGAGTTCAGTCCCCTGAGTCTGGGCTCTTCCCTCAGCCAACACTCTAGAGCCCCTGATTTGGGCAAAGTGACCAACTCTCTCTCACACGCACTCGTGCACACATGCACACACATGAATGCACGGACACATGCGTGCGGCAGAGTCCCTGATGGTCCCAGGCACTGTTCGCAAAGGTGGAATTGTGCCTCGGAATGAGTCTTGTATGGCAGTGGAAGAAAGTCTTTGGAGTAAGACAAGTCAGTTTGAATCCAGCTCTGTCTCTGCATGGGCTGGACGGCTTTGGAGAAGTCACCTAAGTGTTCTGTACCTCAATTTTCTCATCTGTAAATTGGGGCTGGTAATAACCACCTGGTCCTCAGCAGGTGCATAATTAGTGCTCCAGGACAAAAATGGAATTAAGAAGTGACTGTTCCCTCCTGCCTGGCCCAGGGATCCTAGCTAGCTGCAGAGTGCAGACTGGAGGTGCTGGGTGTCCCTGTAGGGGGGAGGGGAGGGGTGTCTTCATGACAGGAAGGGACAGTGAAAGTGAGAAGGGAAACTGAGGGATCCAGGAAGGAGAGTGGGAAAGAAGGAGAGGGAGAAAAGGAGGGGGTGGAGAGAGAGGCCCTGGGCAGTTGTTGAATAACACAGCTTTCCCTGGGGGTGCCAGCGTGCCCCAAGGCAAGTGCAGATGGGCTCTGGGCTGCACAATCCCCATGGAGCCAGTGCAGCCTGCTTCTTGTAGGATTTGAGCTGAAGAAAGAATTGCCCTGTTTTAGTAAGATCATCCAGCCCTGCTCTGAGCCCTCTATCAGAGCCGGTGTGATGTGCAAGCCTATTAGAGTGCTGAAGAGAAGGGAGACTCAAGGCTGTGATCCTTTTTGAAGGAAATGACTGGCCTCCTTGGGCTTCTGCCTGGCCTTTCAAGCCGGCCTCAGAGGTTCCAGTCTGGTGAGTTCCGGAACCCAGCCTGTGTCCCTTCTCTCTGGGAGGAAAGCAGGGGAAGACCCACTCCCCTCTGAGTGAGCCTGCCCTGCTCCCAGCTCCCACAGGCTGAGTGTGTGTTTGTGCACGAGGTGTGTGAGTGTATGTATGTGTGAGTGTGTGTGCATGAGTGGGACTGTGCTTGTGAGTATAAGAATTCAAGTATGTCATAAATGTGTGCACACGAGTGTGTGAGTGAGTGTAAGCATGTGTGCAAGTGTGTGGTATGTGTAGGAGAAATGCAGTTATGTGCAGATGTGTGTGCATGCATGTGTGTGAGCACGTGGGTTTGCAAATATGTGTGAGAATGCAGTTATATGCATAGACGTGTGTGCACATGAGTGTGTGTGTGAGCACATGGGTGTGCACCTGGGTGTGTGTGATGTGTGTGTGAGTGCAGGTGTGTGCTCCTCACTGCACCATAAACTCTCCTTCCTAGTGTTTACACATCCTTCCCCCTTAAAGCCTCTTTAGAAACCCCCCAGCTGGAGACAATAGGCTCTCTGGGATCCCTTCTATTAAATTCCTCCCCAAAATGAGTTCCTCAGAGAAGATTTTCCCTCCTGACAAGTTTCCTCCTGCTGACTGGTGGTGTTTCCTTTCTGCCTCAGCAGCTGGGGTCTTAGAGGCTGTTGGCTGTTTACTTCTTCCTTCCTTGTTAATCCTCTCTCTCTGCTCTTTGTCTCGCAAAGGTCTTATTGTCTTTGCATCTTTCCGTCTCCGCAGCTTCAACCCCTCTGGGAATTTAGAAGCTGAGGGTCTAAGTGAAGAGAGGATCTAGCAGAGAGTAGTACATCAAGGTGATGGCTTGATGTTTGGTCTGTCCGCGGGGAGAGACAGCTCTGGGTCCCTGCACTCTGACAGAGCAGTGCTGCGGCCATTTGTAAGACTCTGGGCAGGCTTAGCCTACTATCTACAAAGTGAAAATTAATACTTTCTCAGCCACAATCATGGGCTTTAAATCTTTGTCCTGAAACCCCCTAGCAACTCTCTGTGGCGCTCTCATCCCCATTTTACAGACAAAGAAACTGAGGCCCAGAGAAGTAAGGGAATGTTCCCAAAGTCACAGAGCTAGTCTCTGGTGGAGGTAGATGTGTCAGACTATAGAGTCCCTGTGGACCAGAGCTTGACTTTCTTGAGTGGTGCTCATAGGCTTGGACTCCCCAACACAGCGGAGGAGACCAGAACACCCATACCCCTCCAGCCCCACCTGGGCTGAGGCGCCATCTGGCTGTCAATGCCCCTGAGGGCTGCTGTCCAGCCCTGCCCTCCCTGTGATGTGGGGTGCTTCCTAGCTCTCGGCCATTTGGGGTCTCAGGAGTGGGGGGCCTCACACACAGATCCTACTGTTTAGACTCTGGAGTGGGCCTGAGTCTGCTTCCTACTGCAGTCACTCTGGGAAAGCTTGCTCTGTGCTCCTGTGCACACGCCCAGCCCTACTCACCTGCCTCTCCCTTGGTTCCTGGTGGGCCTTGGGGTCCTGGGGGACCTGGAAGGGAGAAGGAATTCAGAGTGAAGCCTGGACAAGGAGGAGAACAAAGGTGATTGGGCCAGGAATCAGAGGTCAGTGCCTGTGGCTCCGTCACGTCCTGCGGTGCCCCTGTCTCCCTTCTCAGCAGGTGGCCCCGGCAGTCCAGGAGTGCCAGGTATGCCTGTGGCCCCCTTTTGACCTGGAAGACCTGAGGAAGAGGAGCAGGGAATCAATGAGTCAACCATCAAGGTGGGGTGACGATGCCGTCACTCCTACGATGATTCTCCAAACAGACTCTCACTGAGCACTGAGCCAAACTGCATGGAAAGAAGAAAAGACAGAGAAGCGCAAGGCCTAGAAAGAAAATGGACAAAAAATTGTACCGATGATGTCTTCTGAGGGAGGCTGAGTCAGACCTGGGTTAAAGTATTACTTCAGCTGGTGACCTTGGACAAGTCACTGTATCTTTGAGCTTCAGCTTCCACGGCAGTAAAATGGGTCAATATACCAGTTACGGACAAAAAATTGTACCGATGATGTCTTCTGAGGGAGGCTGAGTCAGACCTGGGTTAAAGTATTACTTCAGCTGGTGACCTTGGGCAAGTCACTGTATCTTTGAGCTTCAGCTTCCACGGCAGTAAAATGGGTCAATATACCAGTTACCCAGGGCTGTCCTGAGGTCACCACATGGAGACTCATCATGGAAAACACACGAGGCACGCTCTGGATACATGGGATCTATTCTGCAACTCACACGGTTCTCTGCTGTTTCCAAGCATTGCTTTGCAGATGGGGCTCCCTCAAGTCTCACAACATGCCAGGTGGGCAGAACGGGGCTCCTTGTCCCCATGTCACCAAGAAGGGGAGTGATGTTCTGAGCAGCCTGGGGCTTGCCTGAGATCACACATTTAGAGAGTGGCTGGCGGATTCCAGGTCTCCCAAGAGCAAAGCCAGCACCCTTGCCAAGGCACCACGGTGGTGAAGTGTAATGTGCTTTCTCATTCAGGGTAGAATCCCAGTCCAGTCGGTGGGGTCCATAGTGTTATATCATTTTATATATCCATGATGAGGGTCTGGAAGGATGGAACAAGTAGAATTGGGGACTAGAACCTCTCACTTCAATAGAGGGTCCCTTTCCCATCTGTCTTAGGAGAGAGAAGTAGCTCAGGATCTGACACCTGGTTCCTATGACCATCTGTGTGACCTGAATAAGGGTCTTCCCTTGGCCTAGACCTGGTCTCCTCGTCTGTAACAAGGAAGTAGCAACGCCCAACTCACAGGGGCCTCGGGAGGACAAAATGAGGTGGTAGGACTTGGGAGAAACTCCATGAAAGGGGGTGTTGTTATACTCACTAGCCAAAGGGAAGAGGCAAGAACCTCAGAGACCCCACGGGCACAGGGGCCAGCTCTTGCCCCTGGCACTTGGGGAGAAAGTGCCCCACTTTTTGATAGGATTGCCCCTAGGCTCCTGTGCCTGTGGGCATGGCTTCCCCCCACCCCTCTCAGGCAGTGCAGGCTGTCCTGGCTTCATAGTGGTGGCCTGGCCCCCTGGGGCAAGGATGGGGTTCAGGTTCAAGAGTCTAATTCACCTCCTCCAAACCTGCCAGCATCATCTTAAGCAAGCCAATGTACCTCTGAGCCTCAGTTTCCTCACCTGTGAAATGGGGATTATAGCAATGGCTGCTTGGGGTTAGTGCAAAGAGTCAACAGAGCATAAAGTGCCTCGTACTTATCTTGGGGGGTCCTCACCCACTCCCCTTCACACCCAGGCTGCCTCTCCCCTAGCTGCTCCTCCCCAGCCTCATCTGCTCTTGTGCTCCAGGCACGTGGACCTTCCTTCTTTGTGTTCCTTGACTCACCATGCTCCCTTCCCACCTCAGGGCCTCTGCACATGTGGCTCTGTTGACCTGGGACCCACGTTTCCTGGAAACCTTCTACTTACTCAGCTGAAGGTCACTTCCTCCAGGAGCCTTCCTGGGGGCCCCCTCTATGCCTCCTCACCCGGGGAACTGCTCCACCCTTTCAGGGCAGTCCCCGGGGCTGTAACCACATCATGCTCCAAGTTGGTCTCCTCCCTAAACAGGAAGGTCAGTGAGGGCAGGCTCTTGTCTGTCCTCTTCACGTCTGGATTCCCAGTGCCTAAAGTGGTGTCCCCTCCTTATGCAGCTCTCAGTAAATATTTGTTGGGAGAAAAGAAAGAAGTCCAGGACAGACAGCACAGGGAAAAAGAGGGATAGGTGGGCTCTATGGTCCCCTTCCCTGACGCTTGGCTGAGGTGCAGTTTCCCCGACAGTGTTCTGGGAAGCCTGGGCCAGAGGGCAGCTCCACAGGCAGGCTGCCTCTGGGGCCAAACCAGTGACCTCAGAGCTCTGCACTAGCCCTCCCTCCTGCCCACCTATTTATCTCCAGGGCAAAATAAGCCTTTGGAGAGTCCTGACCAGGCAAGGCAAGCCACAGAGAAGAGGAGGAGGCCACAGTGTCCCCAGGGTGGGCCAGGGCGGCAGTGGACGAATCTAGAAAGGAACGTGGTGCCTGAGGAAGGAGCCCAGACTTCTGCAGCCCCAGTTTCTGGAATCACTGTTTCCTGCCTCTGGTTTTGTGGTTCCAAAAGAGAGAGTAGAAAGAGAGAAAGAGACAGAGACAGAAGTCAGAGACAGAGAGAGACCTGGAGAGACATGGGGAGATAGGAGGTTCTACATGCATACACACGTATGTATTCATACAGAGAGAGAGACTAAGAGAGACCAGAGGGAGCCTTTGTTCTACACCCTGGGGGAGGTAGGCTCTGAGTCCAGTCCTGGAGCTGTGCTTGGGGCCAGTGAGGGGACAGATTTTAAAGCCCAGACTAAACCCACTGGGTTGAGAAGAGGTTTATGCATTGATTCTGTCAATTAAAGTGACAGAAGTTGTTGGAACAGCCCCTCCTTGGAGGGAAGGGATTAACATTCATCGGGCTGGGGGCTTTCCAAGCATCAGCTCATTTAATCTTCCCAACAACAGCAAAATAACAACAACAATAACAGCAAGTAATAATAATAATGTTATCGAGTGCTGGGCACTGGACTAAGCATTTCACTTCTTTGTTTTATGCTCACACCAATCCTAGGAGGTCCTGTCATTATACCCGTCTTGTAGGGAGGACACAGAGCACAGAAATGTTAAGTGACTTGCTCAAGGTCACCCAGCTCATGAAGGGCAGATCCAGGATTTGTCCCCAGGTCTGTCGGTCAGCCACATCCATGCTCTTGCCAGGATGCAATGCAAAGCTGCCTCAAAACTCTCCCTGGCCAGTGGTGTGATCTGGGCCATATTTGAAAAGTTATGGGACCAAAGGACTCTGTCCCAAGAATGTCATGTATATTTATCTTCAGGGTGAAATTTCAGCCACTCAGCTGATGGAAAGGAGCAGAGGTATGAGTGAGTGTGTGTGCATGTCTCTGTTGCATGTGTGTGCGTGTGTGCAACGCAACACACACGTGGGCTGAGGAAGGAAGAAAAGGCAAATAGGCCACAGGCCTTGTCCTCAGAAAGCACTTGCCACTGTCACATATCTTTTGCACGTCATCTCCCTTGAGTCTTACAGCAGCCCTGTGAGGTGAGTCAAGTTATCCCCATTATTTTCTGTACAGGCAAGCAGTTGAGGTTCCGGAGAAGTTAACTAACAGGCCCAAAGTTGCACAGCTAGTAAGTGGCAGACCTAGCATTAGAACTAGGGTCAGCCTGACTGCACAGCCTGCTCCTCCATGACTTTACACGCACACACACATCAAGCTAGTCCTCCAGGAGAGACGAGCCGTACATCCATGGAAATGATCACAGCACCCCAGTGATAAGTGCTTAGTGGCAGGTGAAAGGCACCTGGAAAGAAAGGCACATGGGAGATGAGGAAGGAGGCCCACACTTGCAGTTGGATGCTGCTTGGGCTGGCTTGGGAATGGCTAGATTGGCATAGCTGGGGTGGAGAGCAGAGGCCACTTCAGGCAAGGAGAAGGGAAAGGCCCAGGAGCTAGGAGTACAAGCATGGTCAGGGGACAGACAGGAGATCCAGCTGAGGGCCAGGGAGGCTGTGGGGAGCAGTGGAAGGTAAACTGGGGTCAGATGTCAAGCCCAGCACAGCACAGGCCAAGAAGCTCTTGGGGGATGGATGTGGGGAGATAGCAGGATGCGTCAGAGTGGAAGTGAACCTACCTGGGGCACCTCGTTCACCATTGATCCCGAACAGCTCTGTAAAGGAAGGAGAGGGGTTGCAGGCTGAGCTGTGGGGGCGCCCTGGGCTCTGCCCCCACCCAAGAACTCCCACGTGCTGTATTAGAAGGATGAGACCACCCATGTGACGAGCAGAGCCTTTGGTCCACTTGGGGGGAGGGGGGGCGTTGGACAACAGGAGCCAAACACCCAGGTGTTTCTCAGGAAAGAGTCCTTGGAAAGAGCAGATGTTTAGCTGTAACTATGGTCTGCACCCCGAGAGAGCGCCCTGGGCTCTGCCCCCACCCAAGAACTCCCACATGCTGTATTAGAAGGATGAGACCACCCATGTGACGAGCAGAGCCTTTGGTCCACTTGGGGGGAGGGGGGGCGTTGGACAACAGGAGCCCAACACTCAGGTGTTTTTCAGGAAAGAGTCCTTGGAAAGAGCAGATGTTTAGCTGTAACTATGGTCTGCACCCCGAGAGTTGTAGATCCCTGGGAGCCATGGAAGTATGGAAAGGGGGTTGCGACCAGCTGCATGCACCAGGCATTGCTCCAAAGCAGCTTGAGGGGGCTCCCTGGGTTAAGAAAGGGCCTCCTCATGTTGGTCAAAACAAGCTTCTTCATGATTCAAGGAAGGCAGAGGCACTCCCAGGGTGTGTCTGAGCCTGGGCTCTGTCCATCTGCCCACAGCTGTAGGCTCTCACATCCTGACTCAGCCTGCTTCTTTGCTTATTGGGCAGGCTGCAGCCTCTGGAGGGATTTGCTGTCCTGGGCCCTTTACCCAGGATGTGCTCCCTTGGTCACAGGACCCAGCCATGGGATTACCCTCCTAAGTCCCAGCTTGCCCCAGATGGGGAACCAGAGCAAGGAATCGTGCTGGGATGGGAGCTCCGTGTCACAGTGCAAACCCTACAACAGTCAGGTCACACCTAGGAGTTGGTTTTATCCAAATTGGCCAGGGACAGTGAAGCCCTTCCCGTTCTGGGGCAGCCTGAGAGAAGAGAGTGTGCAGCCATAAGGCTACAAGAGGACCAATGGAAGGGGGTCTCCCCCTTCGTCCTCTTCTGAGTCCCAACCCAGAGGGGAGGAGGCCAAACCTGGGTTCTGAGTGAAGTTGTCCACCCACTGCAGCAGGTGCTCCTGGCTGGCATGGACCTGGCTGAGCTGGGCCTGCAGGACTTGCAGCCCTGGTGCACCCTGAGCCGGCTGTTCTCTGAGTTTTGCTGACTGCAGCAAGGAGAAGAGTGGGCTGTCCTCAGTGGCCAGCGTTCCATTGGGAAAGTAGCTCTTCAGGGCCTGGAGCTGCTCCTGCAGATTCAGAACTGGACCCCCGCCCCACAGCATTCTTTTAGGGACCTCATGAAAGCCTGAGGCATTTGAGCATCTCCCTGACATTCTTGTGTCATGTGTGCATAACTTCTGTAGGCCCTAGATTTGTAAACACAAATTCCATGTGGGGTTGGGATCTTGTGTGAGCAGAAAGCTTTCTCTACATATTGAACATGTGTACTCCACAGTCTGGCATGATGTGACACGTCCATAGAACATTCCTGCCTGGCCTCAAGATGTGTTCACTGCATCCACAATCAATCTCCAGCTGTCATGAAGTGAAGACCTTCCTGCATGCTCTGGGTGTGAATGCATGACAACTAACATGCTGGTCTGACCTACGTATGTACAAGCAGCCTTCATGTGTGACCTTAATATGCACATAACATGTTTATGACAACTGTGCATGCAACGTTTCTGAGTGTCTGCTGATGGGATTCTTTCATGACTTTAACATTTGGACTGGGGATGCTTCGAAAGTAAAATCATGTTCAAACACACAGTTTGATCACCAAAGCTCCTCCTCACTTAGAGGCTGGGAATCCTTGATGTTAGATGCATGTGGCATACCCTGGGTGCAATCGTTGCATCTTTCAGTGCTTCAGACACACATGGGTTCACATGGGTTCTCTCTCATGCGTACACACATCTACAACACACACTCCCCTCTTTGTCCCCCTCCCAATCATTGTGGATGCCCAGGGGCTGAGGACTCTCTCCCAGTGGGTGGGCAGCAGTGGCCCCAGGGGTCTCCCTGCATCAGAGGGGCCCAGTTCAGTCACCCCAGGAGGGACCACACAGGACTCAGACTGATTTACCTTGGACCACCAGCAGCCCGGTGCCCATGGTGAGCAGAATCAGGTAGATGACCACTGCAGCCAAGCAGAAGTTCACCCTATTTCTCTTCTTGGGTGTTGGATCTGAAACACAAGGCAGGCAGAAGGTGGCTGCTACAGGGGGCATAGAGCAGGGAGGCCCAGTCTGTGCCAGGACCCACTCTTTGTGAGCAGAGGGCTCCCTGTGAGGACAAGTGTGAAAAACACCAAAAGCTCACCAAGCCCAAATCTTCCCCACTGTTGGACATTTATTTGCAGGGCTGGGCAAATGAACGTTTATGCCATGTATCAGTAGATGGAAGAGGCAGATTACATCAACCTTGCTCACTGTTGAAGCCCTGTGCGGTGCCTGGCTCATGCTGGGTTCTCAATCTCTGTTTATGAATGAATTAATGAACTGGTGTTTAAGTTTCAAAACTCTGGGAGGAGGGGGATTGTTCCCATATTACAAACAAGGAGCGAGGCAGAGGGAAGTTGAATAATTTATTACATTATAAGGTACAGATCTGCAATTCATGTTCAGGTCGTTGCTTTCTTTTTCTTCAGATTTTTAAATTCTAAAAGTAAAACATGCTTAATACAATTTATCAAGCAGTATAGAGGGCATGACAAGGGATAATAGCCTTCCCTCAAGCCCCTGAGGTCCTAACCCTTGAGCTTCCGTAGCATGCTGGGGTTGGCTCGTCCCCCCATCCCTCCTGCTCACAAAATCTTAGAAACCCACATACTCTGAGACAGACTTGCTTTTTTTCTTTTAATCTTACACAAATTATATCATAGTACATATAACAGTGCACATTGCTTTCTGCAATGATTTTCATGGATGTTCTTCTAGTTTTCTTTGTAGAGAAAGATTAAAATTAAGCTATTCTTGGGCCGGCCCAGTGGCGCACTGGATAGTGCACCGCTTGGGAAGCGTGGCGGCGCTCCCGCCCGAGGGTTCGGATCCCACATACAGACCGGTTCCCGCTCACTGGCTGAGCGAGGCGCGGGAGCAACACCGAGGGTTGCAATCCCGTTGCCGGTCCCGGTCCGGTACGGGGGCGACACTGAGGGTTGCGATCCGTTGCCAGACATGGAAAAAGACAAAAAAAAAAAAAAAAAAAAAAATTAAGCTATTCTTTTTAATAGTTGCATAATATTCCTTAGAGACAGAAGCCACAGTTCATTCATGCAAACATTTCCCTTTTGATGAGCTGTTGCCAGGTCGGGGCATTACAAAAGAGGCTGTAATAAGTCTCTCCTGAGGTCTCAACTCTAATCTTACATCAGCTGTCACCCTATTTTGTTTAGGGGTACCAAAGTGTGGGCCCAGGCTACAGAAGGCCTGTGGTTCCCTCTGCTCCCATGAGTTGAGCACCTGCTCTGCACCACCGTTTACCAGCATCATCTCTAACCCCACAGCAACCCTGCGACATAGGTATGGTCATCAGCTTCTACAGAGAAAACAGTTAGGGTCAGAGAAGTTAAGGTGACACAGCAGGCATGCGACCCCAGGTCCGTCTAAGTCCAAGGTCTGAGCTTTCCTCACTAGCCTACATGACTGTCACCCCTGGGAAAAACCCAGCTGGAATGGGCCCTGAGGGCAGAACTGAAGGGAAAGGAGATCCCAAGAGCAGCCCAAGGGAGGGAGGTGGGGAACACAAGCACTGTTTTTGCTTTGTGTAAACAAAGGTGGGTTTTCAGCTGACTATCTGATAAATGTGTATGAAGCTCAGGTCATTTTTCAGGACCTGTGTTATCCTGCTGATACTCTTTCCAGCCACCTGCTTGAGCATCACTCTGATGCACAGTGGTCTAGGGATAGCCCTGGCAGGACTGGGAGGAGTGGTTTTGTTGGTTAGTTTTTAAACATTTTTTTTTATTGGTGGCACTTGATTATGCTCAGTCTAGCACAGGGTGTCTCCCCCTCACCCATTGCACCTCCAGAATCCAGGCCCACATAACAGTCCAAGTGAGCTCCCCAACACACATCCCGGCCAAGTCATCCCTCTGCCTTCAGCCCTTCAGGGGCTGCTCACTACCCTCGGACAAACAACTCCCCACCTGGCACATGAAGCCCTGCTTCTGGCCAGCTCCCCTCTGGCTGCACTTCCATGACACACCTCCACACAGACCCTGACCAATGGTCAGGCCAGATGATTGTGGTTACACTCTTCTGACTGTGGGCAATGCATGTCTTCTGAAAACAGGGCCCTTTCTCCTCCCTTCCACATGACTAATTCCTACTCATACTTTAGGAGCTTGGTGGAGCCTTTCCTGCTCCAAGAGACCTTCTCTGGCATCCATAGGCTGGGTGGAAACCCCGTCTGAAGTAAGAGGATGGAAAAAGCCTCTGATAAATAAGAATGGGCTTCCCTGAAGTAAGCCACGGTGAGTCTGGGCAAAGATTTTAGGGAAGCAGGTTTCAGAAGTTTGACAGTTCTAGTATCTGACTCACATTGAAAATATGGCTCCAGAGGGAAGTAAAAATGATGCTTTCCTTTTATAAAAGATCCCAATGAAGAAAAAAAAAAAAAAAAGCTGCACACAAACTCTAGTCTTCCCAGTCTTGCCATCTTCCCAGTAGCAGAAGGTGGTCCTGGGAGGTATTCTCCTCCCTTGTCATAACACTGGTAGACATTGACCAACAATCCCCTTCTCCCCAGCACTGGGCTTCCTGATGAGCAGACTCAGAGAAGTGGTGTCTGCCCTGTGGGCCTGACATGTCCCACCCCTCACCTGGTAGCACTGGGCAGGATGGAAAAGTGCCTTCTGCCTCAGCAGGCAGCACCAGCAGGAGTCAAGCAAGAACACCAGTGACACCAGGTGAGCAAAGCAGACCAGATAGCATAGACAGGGCTCTGAAAACTAAATTGTCATTGGAACTGCAAGCCACAAAAGTAGGCCAGAACCTCCGTAATAAGCTTAGACAGTGTGACTATTTACTAAAATAGAGGATTTAAATAGGATCCAGACTCTTCTAACACACTATATAAAATGTCCAGTATACAATGTTAAATCACACATCATACAAAGAACAGAAAAAAATCACAACTTGAATGAGAAGAGACGATCAACAGATGTCAACATTGAGATGACACAGATGTTGGAATTATTCAATAAGAATTTTAAACCAGCCACAACAAAAATGCCTTAATGAACAGGTACAAATACTCTTGAAACAAATTAAAAAATTAAAAGTAATCAAATGAAAACTACAGAACCAAAAAATACCCCCAATTAAAAAACTCAATAGAGCTGAATAGTGTAACAAATGTGACAGGAAAGAATCAGTGAACACTATGACAGAATGATAGAAATTACCCAGTCTGTAAAACAGAGAAAATCAACAAGAGAGAAAACAATAACAGAAAAACAGGAACAGAACCTCAGAGATGTGCAGGCTGATAACAAAGCACCTAACATCCATATCACTGAAGTCCCAGAAACAGTATGGGGCTGCAAAAATATTCAAAGAAATAATGGCTAAAAATTTCCCAATTTTGTGAAAGACATAAACTTACAGATTAAAGAAGCTGCATGAATTCCAAATATGATAGACCCCAAAAATCCATACTAAGACACATCGTAATTAAAATTTTGAAAAATCTAAAAACAGAGAAAATTAGAATGATAAAGAAAATTTTAAAAATCCTTAAAATAGCCGAAGAGAAACGACACATTGCCTATAAAGGAATACTGATTTGAATAACAACAGATTTCTCACACGAAATTGTGGAGACCAGATGTAAGTGGCACAATATATTCTGTGTGCTGAAAGAAAAGAATTGTGAACTATGAATTCTATTGTCAATGAAAATATCCTTCAGGAATGAATGGGAAATAAAGACATTCTCAGATGAAGAAAAATGAAGAGAATTTATTGCTAGCAGACCTAACTTTAAAGAATGACTAAAGAAAGTCCCCTCAATATAAAGGAAGTGATAATAGAAGAGGGCCTAGAATTTCAAAGAGTAAAGAGAATAATAGAATGGGTAAAAATAGAGATATATATATAACATTAGACCATCCTCCTCATGAGTTTTTAAAATCACATGTGATGGTTGACAGGAACATTATAATATCATCTGATGTGGTGTTCGATGTAGAGGAAATATTTAAGATGATTATATTTAAGAAGTGGAGAAGGTTAAAGGACATAAATGGAAGTAATATTTTGTACATTTGACTTGTTCAAAGTGGTGATCTGTTGACACTAGTGAACTGTGACAAGTTCTCTAAATATATTGCAATACACAGAGAAACCATTAAGAAAACTATTCAAAATTATATACTCAAAACACTATAAATAAATCAAAATAGGATTTTAAAAAGTGTTCAAATAATTAATATGAAGGTAAGAAAAGAGAAATAGATGAATGGGAAACAGAGGGAAAAAACAGAAAATACAAACTAAGATGGCAGGTTTAAGCCCTAACATATCAATATGTATTTTAAATGTAAATGGTCTGAATATTCCAATCAGAAGACAGATATTTCCAAATTGGATTAGAAAACATGACCCAACTGTATGCTGTATATAAGAAACTAAACAATAGAACTTCAAAATACATGAAGCAAAAACTGATATAACTGAAAGGAGATATAAACAGATCCACAATTATAATTGGAGACTTTAACATGCTACTCTCAGCAATTGTTAGAAAATCAGCAAAAGTACAGAAGAACTAAACAACACCATCAACCAACAGTATCTAATGAACATTTATAGACTACTCTATGGAATGACAGCAGAATACACATTTTTTTTTTAAGCATACATGAAACATTCACCAAGATAGGCTGTATCCTGGGTCATAAAACAAAACTCAACAAAATGTAAAAGAAACGAGGTTCTACAGAGTATACTCTCTGACAATAATGCAATAAAAATAGAATTTGGTAACAGATGATAACAGAAAAATATAAACATTGGAAATCTGGAGAAAGTACTTCTAAATAATGCATGGGTCATAGAGAAAGGCTCAAAGATTTTAAAAATAGAACTGAATAAAAATGAAAATACAACATATTAAAATTTATGGAATAAAAAAAGCAGCACTGAGAAAAAAATTTATAGCACTAACTGCTCACACTAAAAA